TGTGATAACGAAGGTGCGGTTGCCTTGACCAAGGAACCGAGGGATCATGGTAGATCTCGACATATCGACAGAAAATATCACTTCATTAGACATCGTGTAGAAGAAGGACAACTCGTAGTGAAGAGGATATCATCAGAAGATAACCCAGCAGATCCGCTTACGAAGGGACTGAGTAGGGTTAAGCACTTGCAGCATGCTAGGAGTATTGGGCTGAAGGATGATATTAGTATAGATTAGATAGTATTAGAAACGTATAATAGATAAATGTAATTAACATTTGATGATTAAATAAAGGAGTTTTATTTATGAGTAAAGTTACTGTCACATGTTAGTTGTTTAACTATTGTTTCACTTTGCATGTTTTGACTTCCAGAATAATTGAGTTTATTAGGAATAATCGAATTATTCAAATGGTCCACAATCGTTCATATGTTGGGAGTAGATATGAATGAAGATTGTCATGAATTGGTGTGTAGAATGTCTAAATGGTGTTAGACATAGCAAGGGTTGCTGCAACGTTCATGAGTGCTTATGAACTGGTTTTGAGCATTGGAATAAACCCGCGCTTGCTGGAATCACCTTATGGAATACGATATAAAAGGTGATCGCAAGACGATAATATCATATAGTCTTAAAACCTAGATATATGGTTTATTATTTGTTAATTGATTGTGCATTGATAATGCGAAAACGCATCAGTAACTTGATGTTATAAAACGCATTGTTGTGTATTGTTGGTTAATGAATAAGTAAATGCATATAAGTCGAAGTTTATCTGTAAATTTTATCCTAAGAGGGTAGAAGAGATATCTTGGCCACTCGATGATTTGATTTGACTTATGTGCCGGGCCCGGTCAGAACTAAATTGATGTGTTCGATTAAGTTCTATGTCGAATAAATCGGAGATCGAGAAATTAAATGCATGACTAACCATTCCATAGGATTGTCAGCATGATATCTAACAGAGGACTGTACGATCCCTTATCTAAAGGACAAGATTGATTAGATCAGAGTTGACAGCGTCTTTGAGAGCTACGATTGCAAACCGAATTGTACTTGTATAGTTACTAGACTTATCCAAGTGGGAGACTGTTGGAATAGTGTCTAAGGCTATAACTATATCCGGTTGTGCATGGTCCTTTTGGGTTGCCTTCACCATAGCAACTTGAAGGATGATTTGTTAAGAGAGAGTAAATATTATAAGGAATAATATATGGCTATTTGATTAATATAAGTCATAAATTAATTGGTATTAATTTGGTGACTTAAAGAGATTAATTAAATAAGAGGGTATAAACTGTCAATTGTTTGATAGTTACACTTTAGACTGTAAATCCTTATCCTAGATAGGATGGACGATTTCTAGGGCTTGGATAAGCCAAAATCGTCCATAGGGTTATCTATGGAATGGATTTGGATAGCCTTAAGAGAAGATTATCCAATTAGGGTTTAGGTGGTAACCTTTAAGGAGTCTACAAGTATAAATAGACCCTAGGGGTGAGGGAATTCGACACACAACCTAAAGCAAGGAACCTCTGGCCGAATTCCTCCCCTCTCCTCTCTCCTAAATCATCTTGCTTGCTATTGGTGTTTGTAAGCCATTAGAGGAGTGACATTTGTGACTCTAGAAGCTCCAAGACAAACAAGATCAACAAGGAACTCAAAGGTATGATTCTAGATCTGTTTCATCATTGTTATTTAACCTAATTAGCTATTAGAAGTCTTGGATTCAAAGCATGTTTAATTAGAAAGCCTAGATCCGAGCAATAGGGTTTAGCATGCGCACATAGGAAAGTTCTTATGACTACCCATCAGTAGTGTGGGTGGTATGGAAGATTGGTGAATAGATGTTGTTTTTGAATTGGAGATGATATCAATTGCATGTAGCTAAGATCCGCTAACGGATCATTTGGAGTGTTTGGGGTGGGTGATGTATTTTGGTTTGGATCCATAACAATATATGATGAATGAATATTTTTTTGATGGATATATGTGTTTGTGTTGAAAAAATATATGTGTTTGAAATGAAAAAAAGAGTGATATATATATATATATATATATATATATATATATATATATATATATATATATATATATAGAGAGAGAGAGAGAGAGAGAAGGTGTAGTAATTAAATAATTAATTTCTTTTTTTTTTCTTTTTTCTTTTTAATGTGCAAACGGTCACATGACAACTATCAAAATCGAATAGCCAATCAGATCAAACGTCCTCTCTCGTCTCCATGAAGACGCCACACTCAACCCACTGGAGGTGGGGCCGATGTTCACGCGTCTTGGGGGTTGACACATCAGCCTCCACGCGTCTTCAGAATACCACTTCGGATAGTCTAACTTGTTTGATCAACTGTGAATAGTAACAATTTCTCGAAACTAGAATTACACTTAAGTTATCATCATTTAAAGGTACAAAAGGAGGATATCCTAAATATTGAATTTTGGTTTTGTTTGACGAAGGCACCAAAAAGTGTTCATGGATCTCACGAAGTAGGTACGTAAGACTTTGACAATTTTATCATCTATTTATTGATAATACTCTCATATATTCTATAAGCCAAGAATAACACAAACAATATTTACAAATGACAACGTTAGAAATTTTGACACAAGAACAACTTATTCAAAGTTATCAACGTGTAGATTATAAATACGAGAAGTCGCTTCATAGGACATGATATCACAACAGACAATATCATGGTAGAACAAAATAAAATTGAGTGCATAGCAAAGTGGGAAAACTCACGTTCATAACCAATAAAATGAAGGTTTTATTAGATTACTCAAACGTTGTCAATAATTCATTCAAGATTTCCCAAAAAGAAATTTTCTTTTATTGGCATTTAATTTCTTATATTTTTACAACTAAACACGGGAAATCATCATAATCAAATTCTAATTCCCTCATAATCTCTCGAAAACTCACGAAGCAAACACCCTCATGAGTTTTCAATAGTTCTTCAAGTTGTTAACATTTTATCGAGTGTAGGTCCTCTCATTTAAAAAATATTTTAAAATTTGTTTAATATAAAAAGGTTATAACCAATTTCATTAGTGCTAAAATTGTTTTTTTTTTTTTTTTTTTTTTTTTTCTTTTTCTCAAAAAACTCATGTATCCAACACACAATTCTACTAATAATGAACGCGTCATTGATTTTGCACAGTCCAAACTATAATTATTAAATTTCCTTTAATGGAAACTTTTTTCATTAATCTTTCACAAACCCGCAAGGGTTTTGAGATGAACCTAGATGTATCATTTCCTTGTTTAATGGGCAGATTCACAAACACAACATACACAATTCGATGTTTTTTTTTTCTTCAAAATAAGAGAATATTCAGCTACTCGGCAACTTCATTAGCTAAAAGATATGCTTGCAAACTAGAAAATCATTGTTATTAGTTTGGTAGCGGACAATGTATGATTGTACGATGATTTTTTGTATGTACAAATATTTTGCTGATCTTATGCGCTATTAAACCTCGCCTAATCTGACCAAATAAGGTTGGAAGAGCTATTAGTGGGTGCGAACTCCACCTAAGTCATTTCCTTTTACGAAAAGAAAGAATCGATACTTGTCTATTGGTGAGAAAGGCACGATGTTGAAGAGCTCCACATCACTTTCTCCATTGTCCACATCATCTTTAACACTCTCATCTATCTAAATAAATTATTATATGATATTTTATATGTTACTAATAACTATTATCCAATGATAAATTTCACCACGTTACCCTAAACGATGATCAATATGATTTGAGTTAACCATTATTAGTGTCAGTCGATGGCAACGATAATATCGTTAGGACCGCAAATCAACATTCTCTCTCCTAAACCGCTCTTTTCCGTTCATAGATTATTCGGTTTGGTTCTTGGTTTTTTAATTATCAAAATTTACTTTTCAATGCAGGGTGTAGGTTATTTTTGGTCATTTAACTTTTGATTTTGTACTCATTTGATCACTTAATTATTTTAAGTTTTAAACGATCATCAAACTTTTGACTTTATGCTAATTTAGTCACTTAACTTTTGGGTTGGTCACTTAACTTTTAGATTTGTGCTCATTTAATCATCTAACTTTTAAAATTTTGCTTATTTAGTCACTAAACTTATAAAAAAATTTAAAAGTTTAGTGAATAAATTAACACAATTTTAAAAATTAGGTGATTAAATGTGATCAAACCAAAAGTTAAATAACTAAATAAGTACCAAACCAAAAGTTTGATGATATTTTAAAATTTAAAAAAAATTAAATGATCAATAAATATTAAACCAAAAATTAAATAACAAAAAATACCTAAAACCTTAACTTTGTTTAATTCAATATAACCCTTCCCATTGGACTTTATGTTATTTTTATTTATTTACTTATTTTTGTAATTTCCTGTTATATACCGAAATGGAAGTACATAAGGGGTCATAGTCACTATAAGCAGCAGGCATTAGTACTACTAGCAGTATCACTAGCAGTGGCACTACTCGCCGTTCGGCCGTCGCCTCGTACACCGGTACCAGCAATATATAAAATAGGGTGGCGCACATCACATGACTACAGCCCTCTCTCTCCTCCATCCTTGAAAGAAAAATTAATGCACACCTATCACAACCAAATCCCTCGATCAACTGGTGCAGTGAAGTGAACAATGTGTATGTTCTTCGTAGGTGGTGTCTGCTTAGGTTTTCGGTAACAGATTCGGAGTTTCAACAACTTTACATCATTCTTTGCTTCCATCTTCGTCAATCTCCGCCATTAACGTTTCTATAACGGGTTTTTCATTTATTTTACAACGCGCAAACCGCGTGTATTCAAATCTATGTTTCGTAACTTTAGTTTTTCTTCGATCGAATTGTGTTGATGGAAGCAATTGCAACTGGAAGCGTTGTGTACGATTTGGAAGTTTAACTCGTGTAGCGAGTTCGAATTGGATTCAATTAAATCGGAGATTAATTTGAACGCGAGAGTTGGGATCGGAAAATAGAATCGAGTATGTTGACTTGTATTGCTTGTTCGAAGCAGCTCGGCGGCGGATCTCTTCCCGAACAGGAAGAAGATGACACCGGCGCTACACCTCGCAGTAAGCCAGCCATTAAAGCTCTCACATCTCAGGTAAAGCTGACGTTTCCGTCACATTACTAACAAATCGTAATGATTGATCGTTTGATGCTAGTTTATTAATATTTATGTCATTAATGGTTTATAGATCAAGGATATGGCGGTAAAGGCATCGGGAGCATACAAGAACTGCAAGCCTTGCTCCGGATCATCAAATCACAACCGGACTAATGATGGCTATGCGGACTCTGAAGCTGGTTCAGGATCCGATAGATTTCACTGTGGGTACCAAAGGACTTGTAATTCTACACCTAGGGTTTGGGGAAAGGAAATGGAGGCGAGGTTGAAGGGGCTTTCGAGTGGTGGGAGCACTCCGGCTTCATACAGTGACAGAATTGAATCAGTTAAGTTCATAGAGGAAGACGAGCTTAAAGAATGGGTTGCTCAGGTCGAACCAGGGGTTCTCATCACATTCCATTCATTACCTCAAGGTGGCAACGATCTAAAACGTATTCGATTCAGGTATGCATTCAAATTCAAATCGAAATATCAACTTCTGATTCTTCTTTTCAATCGTAGCAATGCTCGTTTACTGTTGGGATCTATTACTTCCAAAATAACGTCAAATTTCAACTCTTATGTGAGAACCAGACACTAGCTTGCATAATGCCCGAAATTATGAAAGTGGCCCCAATTGGGTGTCGGTTAACATCAGCAATACCACTTATTCTTCTTACATAACAATTCACAAACGAAAACAAATTATAATGCAGACAAAATCTATCAGTTTGATAAAAGCAAGATACAGTCAAATAAACTCTCTATGTCATGTGGGTCCATCACATCCTTTGTTTAGAGCTTAAGGTTTTGTTGGTTTGAGCCATTTTGAATTTCCATTTATATGCTTATATGCTACACTCACAAAGAACCAAAGATGTAACTGTTGTCTGTGGGTCCATTACTGCATTAATTTAAGATCACACCACAAAGTAGATATAATCATGGTTGATACATACATACTAATACTAATACTACAATAATTGGAGAAGAAATACTTCTGTTTGCATCACATGGAGAGTCCCTTTTTATCCTGAGTTATGTTCCCTCATTGGAATATGGAGGATGGCTAAGGTGAAGCAATACCACCTTTTTAAAGCTTTTTAAAAGCATGACAC